GATTCAGTCAAATTCTGGAAATGCCTGTAAAAATCATAGCAATAAGTTTTAATTTCTTGTTCTACTTTCTTCTGCTTCTTTTTTATTACATGGTTACTCAAAAACCTAAACAATGGTGTCAACCAATTTTACTGAGATGACATAGTTTCAAATGGAGTATCTGCTTATACAAGTTTTATCAATAAATAGTAGTAATTTAAAAAATATTAATTCTAGTACAAACAATGTTATAATTACCCTTCAAAATTAACTTTCTTACAGAAATTTGGTGTTCCTTTAAAAAGCTTAAGTACAGGGTGAAACAGGAATTACCAGCCAATAATAGATAAACAATAAATATTAGTTGGAGCCTTGATGTATTTAGAACTTGGTTATAAATACAGTTTTCCTATGTATATTGAAACATTGCATTAAAAAAAGGCAACAACAAGCAAACAAGAAAAAAACTTTTCAAAAAAGGAAGTAAATGTATGGATGACTAATATCAATCCTTCAAAAACAATGCAAACAAGTGTTTAGGGAAGGTATGACATTTGCATCATCCCTACATAATAGCACAGGCAAGAATTCACATATAAGCAATATATAAAACTATTCAATCACAATTGAGTTTAATTTATCCTATTTTTGCCTGTTAACATTCTACTACACTGTGTGCCTGTGCTATTATGTAGAGATGATGCAAATGCCATCCCTACTATTTTGTTTCCATGGTTTTTGAAAAATTGATATAAGCCATTCCTACATTTACTTCCTTTTTTGAAAAGTTTTTTCTTTACTAAAATTTACTTGCTTTTGGAACTACAAAAGAATCTCCATGATCCAAAATGTAGCAAGAACTGCTAAGAAAGGTAAAATAACTATAATTTTAGTGAAAGTAGAAAAACATATGAAATCATACAGTTATTTTTCTGGATAATAAAATTACAGATCAATACAATGACTACTCCACTTAGAGCTCAATACATGTATTTTTCTGGATAATAAAATTACAGATCAACACAAAGACTACTCCACTTAGAGCTCAATACATGTATTTTTTTAACTGCAAAGTTCTTTCAAATACAGAAATATTTCATGTCTATTTATTTTAAACAAAATCAGACAAAAAATTTGTTTGTTTATTTTAACATCTGCTGGAATTATAAAATAACTTCCTTAAGTATTTTATTTGCTGTGTCCTAAAATAACTCCTTAAATATACATATAACAACAACTAAAATATTAGCAATATAATACAAAATAAATGATAAACTGGACAACTGATGGTTTGCATGATCCCAGTCTTCTTATTATGTTCCAAGTACTCAATAAATTTTATTAAAGTAGGTCCTGAAAGGACAACAATGTTGACTAAGGTTTGCTCTAATACCTAAATGATTAATAACAGCACCATTGGATCATAGTTTAAACCCACCTTCAGATAAAAAGACTACTGCAAACATTTTGTGCTT